TGGGTTGGCCTACAAAAATATCTACTACTGCACTCGATATCCATGCCTTCTAAAGCGAATATCTTTTTGTTAGGAACAGACCCAAAGTCAAAATTGAATATCTCCAAGTCAATGAAACCTGGCATTGGCACATTATTTTGAATCTGATTATGGATGTGAATAAGATTTGAGAGCTGAAGAAGATTGTTGAACCAAATGTTTTAAAGAACCTTTATTTTTAAGCATGTACATTGCTAAAATGTTATCCCATATTGAAGAATACTGAACTTGGTTTGCACTAATTCAGATACTTTGACTGTGCTCTGGTCATATGTCAAAGCTCAAGCCCGGATGTGTGAATGAATCGGTCGTTGTTTCTCGTTTAAATCGGCCCATGTCAGGTTTAGTTACATACCCCAGCGGATGCCGAACGATCAGGTGCGCCTCGGGTCATATTGCGCGCATTCTAACTCATTTAGAGCTGCGGTGCAAACGCTGAGAAGGTTTGTCTGAGAGGATTAATGAAAGGCTTAACAAGAACGTTCCCTGCTTGTGCTGTGTGCGTCCTCATAGGGAGGGCAGCCGTTACGGGCCCACGAAAGGATCAGGTCAGGACGCCCCATGCTGGGGGCCATGCTGTCCTGGGTTGTACGGTGCATAAGAGGAGAAACGATTCAACAAATCAGGCTTAATTCTCTGGTGAGGTTTTCAGGCACAATGTGAAACTGCTCACAGGTGGAGAATTTATTTGAATAATTATGCCTCTGTTTAACTTTTAACATTTCTGGAGCGCAACCGGAGGGTTCCACAGGTATAATTTCAATCAAAGAAACTGATTTTTAATTATAGCATATAAACAGACCTACCTGAGTGGCAACAGTGGCATGTACAGCTCTCTTTCCTGATATATTTCCTATTGAGACAGGACGTTTGGGTGGGGCATAGAGAAGGATTGTGGCTTTTTTTAAAATAGCCAATAGGCTTTAGTTTACGTGTACCATGCTTTTTTTGTCATTTGCTATTGCTAAATGGAATCAGGTGGTTCGAGAGAGTAATTTATTGGGTACATATTTGTATACGCCCCTTATAGGGTGAGATAAGTCATCAATATTTTTGGTCTGTTTTCCTAGAAGACTATTTAAACCGTTTATCATCTTTTAGGAGTACACAAGCATATAAATGATGTTAAAGCAATAAACATGGACTAAAACCTACAAATGATTAATACTGATTTAATGGAGTTCATAAAATAAAAAATTTATTAAAATTGTGTGTATATACACATACACACACACACACACACACACAACAATTTTTTTTCAATATTTAATTTAATTTTTTACATTTGACATAAAAACAGTTTATAATATAGTGATTCATCTCAGAGCTGCTTGTTTTGGTTCATGGCTCAGGTTTAAATAAAGAATTTCTTTGAAATATTTATGGAAAAAATTGAATGGGAAAAGTACTGCTGGAACCAAGGCCACCGAGCAGGTGGGCGTTCACATTCAGGCTTTATGCATAGCTCTGTATCGTTGTACTTCTCAGTGAAGGATATCTTTATAATGCTATTTAAAGCATACCTGGTGCCATCTACAAAAACACAGATAAAGTATATGCTGTTAGCTATTGCATGTATCCGGTTCAGGAGGCCAGCATTAAGAAATCTGGACCCCTGTGGTCCTAAGCGCCTCAGATTAAAGATACACTATCAATATAAAACGATAAGAGCGCTATTAAAGTTAGTTAAATGGATTTACAGCTAATACCACTGCAATCTGTCCATCTCTACTTCTCAAATGACATCTGCTGATTGTCTGTTTAAAGACCACTGACTGATATTACTGTAGTGAGCCAAACAAAGCAAATCATACCCAGGAAACCAGAATGAATGTTAAAAAAATATTTATTGACAATTGTGTAAAAAAATAGCTTTCTAAACATAATTTCCATTGCTAAATCAGAAAAACAAAATCCGAGTTGCAATCATGCCTACTAAAGGTGAAAAAGAAACCATGTAAAATCACTCGTTCCTCAAACATTCATGAGGTCATATCCTCCAACATATGCACAGCAGACCGTTTAAATTAGGTGACAAACACGACTTCAGACTGGTATGGTTTACCATCAGCAGTGCTCCATGCATCGAGAAACAGAAGTGCTTCGAAGATTATTTACAACATATGTACATATCGTTCTCAAAAAAAGGCTTTAAATATGGTAAAAATACATTTAAATAATTTGTGGGCCCTTCGGTGGTGGAATGAGAAAAATTTTGCAGAAAATTGCTTCTCTATAAATAAATAAATAAATACTTCCACTTCCATCTCGGGCTTTTTTTTGTTTTAAGACACTCCAATAAATAATTTACACATAAGCCTCATCATGGAATTGAGTTATCTGACCGAGCTATTTACAATATAAACAAAAATAATATGCAAAAAATGTAGTCTTTTACGTCATAGTTGCATTGCTTTGTGCATCTGTGACAATGAGTGATAGTTGTTGAGGGTTACTCAGTACAAAGGAAGAGGAAAAAGAAACAGCGGTTTGAAAGAGTGAGGTAAGACTTTTCATTCTGCAGAGGTTTGTGAGGTCGATTTGGTTACTCTCTCTGACGTATTAGAGTAAGACCGACAGTTACCTGCCAGGAGCAGGTAAAGTGGAAGCAAGAAGGTAAAAAAAAAAGACATCTGGTTAAGGAGTAGAGTGTTACAGTGGCTATTACTCATTTCAAGTATTTCCAAAAAAACTAAACAAAACAAACCCTTGATCTTGCACAGAAGGCACTAAAATGATTAAGCTCGGCTGATCTGCTTCCTAAAGGAACAGCCCTGACGGTGCACCAAAGCCGCAGATCGGCCCTCATCGCAGCACGACTCCTTGTGGCCGCTGCATCGGGTGTCCACGAGCTCCTCCCTACACTGGCTGAGATGGGCTTCTCAATCTACCAGTGTCCGACAGCAGTGTTGACAGTCATTTGGTTACTACGAGCCAGACTTATGGGACCCTGAGCCACAGGGGTGCAGGAGACGAGAGAAAACAGATCTCACTAAAAGGTGGACCTCTCCCTTTTTTGGCCTAGCCTAGAACTCCCGCCTAGCAGCAATGCTCAAAACAAAAGAACAACATGTGTTTTTTTTGTGTGTTTTTTTTTTTGCACTGCTCAGTCCGCAGGTCCCCTGGGTGGTTTGCTGCTGTAATGGAAAGTCTCTACGTATGCATTCAGATAGAGTCATTTGCACACAGTGACTGCTGGGAAAGCAGCGGGCTGATGCTGTGCAGTCTAATCTCAGTGTTGTCTGTAGGGGGCGCTGTGTTCTGCATCCAAGGGTGGTTGATGATGTCCTCGAAAGACGGGCGTTCCGCGGGGCGGAGGGCCAGGCACCACTTGATAAGCTGCTGGCACTCTGTA